AAGTGGAAAAGAGAAGAAAGTCAAGCTATCATCCAAAAATCAAAAAAATATTTTTTCAAAAAATTTCAAAAGAAAAATAGAGAATCATGAACTTTTATAGTGAATCCTGTACTACACCCTTTTCCTTGAAAATGAGTCACTTAAAGTTCAAAATTCCTGTAAAAATAAAACCTCTGTGATTTGGAGTAATTAAAAGATTATTTCGGCAATCACCAAGAGAAAGCTCTTTAAAACAATCGTTTAAATAGAAAAGTCCATCAGCGTCTATAACCACACAAATCTTAAAAAATAAAAAAATTCAAGAAAAGTTGGCAAAAAATCAAGAAAAAATAGTCGGATTTCAATATAAGATACACACAATATCAGTGGAGGGGAGCGATTTAAACGATTTCCTTTATTTAAGAAAAATCTCAAATATAATTTTTTTCAGCATCAAGGGTGTATCCTATAGTGAGTCGAGTATACATGAAATCCTAAAATAAAAAAATTTATTCATACTTTTGGTGAATTTCTCGCAAATTCAACAATTCCTCTCAACAATTCTTTGGTGTGCTGTTCTCTGCCCAATCCTGGACCGAATACAAGAGCATCCAACTTTTCTAGACTAATACGATTTTTCGCGAGATCTGTGGTTGGATAGACCTTTAAAAAATTGAAAAAATTAGAACAAAATTTTCTTTAAAAAAATAATTTACAATCAAATCAGGACTATAATTCTTAATTGATGGCGCAGCAGAAGGGTGTGTATAAACAAAAGAAAGATCAGCACCAATTTTTAAAGTGGACATTGCAGAAAAATAAGGAGCACCTTTAAATTAAAATTCATTTATTAAAATAAGAAAAAAAGTAACGAAATGAGAATGCAAGAAATTAATAGGAATGAAAACCAAAACCTTGAAAAAATCCAAAAAATTTCCGCAAATTCTTTGAGACGTTGCCAAGGACCTTCCACGGATCCAATATCAGAAAGATAACCTTTAAAAAAATGACCTGTATATTCAGCAGAACCTCCAATCACACCAATTTTCCCACAATCTCCTTTCCTCAATTTTTTGCTCAAAACAGGTAAAAGTTCTTTAATTGAAGTAATCTGCGACATTATATTTTAATAAATTAACTAAAAAATTAAAATAAAATTTAAAAAGTGTTGCTTAAAATTTTTATGGTTATCAAATTTCTTCTAAAATAGACATGTGTTGCACATTTTTAAATGAACTTTAAATAAATTTCCGCAATATAATCCGATTTTTCATTAAAAATTTTGACACATGTGCAAGGGAGAAGGAAAAGAACTCAGAAATTCATTAAATGTGAAAGTCAGCTGAAATTTGATTAAAAAAGTGTCGAATCCGATAAATGTCGGATCTCATATTCCAATAAAGGATCGTTGACCAAAAAACAATTATCCTAAACCAAAACGCTAATTATGCTAAATTTTTTGATGCTTTCAAACCTCTATATGAGAACCTTAAAATTTTTTAAAATATTATAAATGTTCAAAAGACATTTTATTTTGGCATGTTTTTTAGAAAATAAAGCTTTTATTTTTAAGGTCAATAAAAAATATCGCACAACACTTGTGACCCTGATTAGAGTAAGAAAATTAAAATTTTTAATTCAATTTTATTTGTTCCCCCTTCGAAAATAATTTCAAGCCCTTTAACACCGATAGTGAGTCACAAGTGACGTGTCGCATATATAGCCTATAATATCAACATATAAGTAGAAAAGCGTAAAAAACATAAAGAAAGTCCTAAGTGAAGTAAAAAGCTGACAACTTATCCCGCAATAAATAGAAATTTAAAAATCAAATAAATACTAAAAAACAACCATTAATTAAAATTTGTTCATTCCTTCTTACAAAATTCTTTAACCATTTCTCTAATCACATTTCCATTAACAGAGGTAAAGTCACGAATACAAGTTGAGAGACAATCAACACCTGCAGAGTCTGGATTCTTTAATGGACTGAATTCTTCTTCACGGGGTACTTGCCAGACCATAAAATTTCTAAAAATAAAAAAACAGATTAGCAAGACGATTTAGCAGGAGATCTTATGTAGAGATCGGAATTTTGAAAAAATCGGGTCCAGGTTCTGAGTGTTGACCGGGAGGGACCAGGATCAGAAATTCTCGTTCCCGGCTTCATCCCGGTAAAAAACCGGGAAAAGGGACCCAAAAACCGGGGTACAAAAAACCTGAAAAACCGAGGTACACAAAAGACCACCCTTCACTTTCCCTTTTTATGCTAATATTCCCAGTACGGAAGAACAATTTCTCCGGACCCGTTTCGATCTCTAATCTTATGTTAAGTCCAAAATAGATCCTTACTTTGGGCACCTAAAAATCCAATAATGGGAGTCATCTTATTTAAATTTATTGAAAAACAAAGTATTTTATCAGAATCTATAAAATCTCTTATATCCATATTTCCCCATCAACCCAACTCATCTAAAATACAAAAAAGGCCACCCTTCCCTTGCCAGAAATACCAAATCTTATTCTAAATTAAAATATCAAAAACAAACTTTGAATGGATGAAAGCATCAAAAATAAAGCGTTCCTTCTTTATGCCATTCTCACTAGTTGGTTGGACATTTTTTCCAATAATAGGATCCCAATAAGGTATTCGTTTGCGTGCTTCATGATAAGGCAGAGAATCAAATTCGAAACAAGCTTTTTTAAGAAAGTCGAGAGTAAAAAAGTGATTGGCAATATTCCCAGCACGGAAGAACAATTTCTCCGGAAATTTTGGATCACGCTTTTCAGCCAGTTCTTTTGGGATTTCTGAATATTCTAGTACTTTAATTTTTCCATCTTCAACGCAGACATGGCCAACTTTTTCTGAAGGATCCTTTTTCTCGATTACCTGAAATTGCTTTTAAACAATGTATTAAAATGGTTTTGTTTCTTAAACTAAAAGTCAAAAATGTTTTTGAATGAGGTAAAGGATGTCCTTACAAATGTCAATTGCATAACTTGTTGTTATGGCCCATGGTCCAAACAAAAATATATCAAGAAAACCTAAATCCCTTTGAAACCTATCCCACTATAAAGTGTCCTTATTTAGCAAAAAAACCTTCAAAACACAATCAGCCTTTTTATCAATAGCAAAGCCAATCATAAGTAAATCAGGAACACGACAGAGAATATTGTCAACACAATAAACATGAAAGTATTCAATTCCCATTTCTTCAAGTTCTGGAAGCTTTGGCGAAATTGCTTGGTAAATACCGCCATTTCCATCTAAAGAATTTTTTCTTAAAATCGTCATAAAATTTCTTTCAAAAACCTGGTGAAGTGACAGGCCGATCAGGTGCAGATAAAAGAGGTTGACCATTAAAATCGTGAGCAGGAATTTCATTTTGAGTAAAAACCATTACCTAAAAATTTAAATATGGAAACGTTTTGTATATTGCGAAAAGGAAAACCGGCGCCCTTTCCCCAGTTTGCCATTTCGGCGGTTTTTGGGGGTTTGCCATTTCGGCTTTTTTGCCATAACGGCTCGCTACGTTCACACCCGAAGAAAAAATTGAGGAAATCAAAAACGTCCAAAATTTAAAAATATTGGAAAAATACTGTGAAACGAAAAATATTTTTTGAAAAGAAGTTTCCATAAAAATTGTAAAAAACAACACAGGCACCCTTCCAATTCTATTAAAAAAACTCCTACATTTTTCCAGTCCAAATTTGTCTTTTTCAAGATAACATCCAAATGTTCACGTATTTTTGCATCTGTCGAGTTGCTCGTCATTATTAACCAAATAATTCTTCCTTTAGCCTTCTTTTGGAGATAGCTAATTTGGCAAGCTTGTAAAAACAGAAGAGAATCATTTTCTGCCCCAAGTCCAGTTCCCAAGTTAATAATGCCTTTTGGAAGGGAGGATCCAAGTCGACTAGCTTGTCCACCAGCAAGTGTTATCACGGCTAACTTTCCTCGAGAAATGCTTTCAAGACCTGTAAAATGAATAAAAATTTCTTTGAATTAAAATTATCGGAATACCAATGTCAAAAAATCTATTCAATTTTGTGGCTGAAAACTGTTGACGGTCAAAATAACGTTGTTGGTCTATGGGATGAAAATTTTTAAGCATTTGAAAATTAGAATGTTTAAGGCTAAAAATAAAACAAAAACTATTTATCAATTGGTTTTCAAGCCAAATGAATTAAAAAACGATTAAAAAAAGAAAAAATATAAACGGCCCGATGACCTTATACTACTCTGAATCGGCCGATTTGAACCGTCCAAGACCGATTCATTTTGTCGCGGAAATTTTTCTCTTGAATTAAGGATGCGCGTCTAGTTTTTTAAAATCAATTTTTTAAAATGAAAATTTAAAGGAATCTGTATGGTTTAGGTACGCTTTTTTCTCACGGAACGATTTTTATTGCCATTCGTCTTAGCCCAGCTCGATGATGTCATCCGAGTCAGCTCTATCTCTAACAAAAAATTGACCTCAACTCAATTGATTGATGGTTGAGAGGGAAGAGTTAAAGAATAAAGGAAAAAAGGGCGTGACTAAAAAAACGTGCCTAAACCATACATACATATAAGTTCCTTTTAACTTACAATTAGCGTTCACTTCATATTTTACCTCATTAATTTAAATTTATTTTTAGACAAATTCTAAAAAATTTCGATTATGTCAACTTTCAAATCAAAGGATAAAACTGTTAAAAGAAAAAATGTTCAAGTTGCTGTTAGAATCAGGTTCTAAGTTTGAAATTTTTACTTTTATCTAAATTTTCGTTTGAATTTGATTCAAAATAAAAAACGTTTTTTAAGACCGTTGAGCGACAATGAACGCGCTATATGTAACAAAAACATTGTTTCGTGTGACCGTGTAGCAAGGACTGTTTCGCTCAAACCTATTGGCTTTTCTGATTCTTCACGATTCGGTCAAGGACAAAAATGTTTTGGACCTTATGATAAGGTTTTTAACTTGTTTTTTTAATAATCTCAAATATTTTTTTAGATTTTTGGCCCAGAATCTACTCAAATGGAAGTCTACGAGGGCGTTCTTGCCCCCCTCATGGGGCAAGTTCTTGATGGTTACAATTGCACAGTTTTTGCTTATGGTCAAACAGGAAGTGGAAAGACCTTCACTATGGAAGGGCGTCATGATTCCTCTGAAGACTTCGCATGGAACACTGATCCAACAGCAGGAATTATTCCACGCGCACTTGATCAAATTTTTTCAGTACTTGGCGAGGATATTGATTACACTGTGCGCGTCTCTTACGTCGAACTTTACAATGAACAAATTTTTGATTTGCTGAATCGGACTGAATCACAATTGGAATCATTGAGAATTTTTGATGATAAAACAAAGGTTTTTTCAATTCGAAAAACGCGATTAAATTCATTGTTTTGAAGGGAGTATCAATTGCTGGTGCTGAAGAGGTCATTGTCCGCTCGATTAAAGAAGTTCACGAATTGCTTAGACGTGGAGCTGAGAAGCGTCGTACAGCTACAACCCTTATGAACATGACTTCTAGGTTCTTTTAGAATTAGGTTTATGCATAACTATATTTTGTTGATTTTAGTCGTTCTCATTCTGTCTTCACTGTTTATGTTATGGTGAGTTTGAAAATCTTTTCAATTTTAATAAACCAAATTAGATTCGAGAGCCGGGCTTAGTTAATGGCGAAGAATTACTCCGACAAGGAAAGCTTAATTTGGTGGATCTTGCTGGTTCTGAAAATATTGGGCGCTCTGGCGCGACAGATATCCGAGCTAGAGAAGCGGGTATTTTTTGTTTTTTAATTCTGTCTATATTTCTTAAAAAGGAAACATCAACACAAGCCTGTTGGCGCTCGGACGTGTAATCAATGCATTGACTATGGGTGCTTCACACATTCCTTATCGCGAAAGCAAGCTGACACGTATTTTACAAGATTCCTTGGGTGGCAAGACAATTACTACAATCATTGCAACAATATCTCCAGCGTCGTCAAACTTTGAGGTTTATTATAATTTGCTAAATTCAAAATTTTAATAAATTTCAGGAATCTGTCAACACTTTGGATTATGCTCAAAGAGCTAAAAACATCAAGAACAATCCAGAAGTCAACCAACGAATCACGCGACGTGGCCTTCTAAAAGAATACAACGATGAAATAGATCGCCTTCGTCGTGATCTTCTCGCTGCTAGGGAGAAACATGGAATTTATTTGGATAAGGAGAATTATGAGTATGTGTTTTTTAACTCTTCATTATAATAAATGGCCTAAGTTCGTTTCAGGCTGTAGCCAGGATTTTTTTCAGGAGGGGGGGGGGGTTCTAGATTAGAACCATAAAACAAACTTTGCCTAATGAAATAATTTTCAGTGAAATGATTGAGTCAATAGATGAGAAAAAGGCAAAGGTGGAAGAATTGGAAGCGCAACTTGAGGGCAAGCTGCGTCAAGTTCAAATTGTAAATTTTTTGTTTTTAGAATACTTTAATTACTTTTAAAAATTTTTAAAGTTGCTTGAGGACTTTGCTGTCATGGATCAACATTACAAGTCAATTTACGAAAAATTTCGCTCTGCATTAGCTAAATTGGAAAGCAGAAAGGAAGAAATTGAAGAATTAAGCCTGGTAATTATTTTTTAAAGTCCAAGAAAAAAATTTTTCATTAAAAAAGGAAATCGCTCAAACGAAGGATAATTACAACGCTGCGTCGCAGGCTCTTTCAGTTTCTTGTGATTCCTTTGTTCGTCTAAGATCTCAAGCATTGAAGGTTTTTCTTTAATATTTTGGATTTTTCTAAATTTTATTTTTAGTTGCAAACATATTCTAATGGATTGTATAGCCAAAACGGAGTGCTTTTTAACAAGATCAATGAAGTGGTTCGTTTCTTTCTTAAATTTTTGATTTTGTTTAAAATTATAAACAACTTGTAGTTGACAACATTCGATGGAAACTACCAAAAATTGAAAGGGCTGTTTGATGGTCAATACAAACAATTTGAAATTGGAAGAAATCAACTTACAAGCTTCACTAACCGGTCAGAGATTCAACTGGAGGAGGCAAAAACTGCTGTCTGTGCGTTGAAGGAAATGTCTGATCAATTTGAACAAAATATTGAAAAGGTTAATTTTTTGCAAAATATTTTTAATTATATTTTCATCACATTTTCCAGTTTACCCAAGATTTTCGAGATCGCATGAATCAAGAATTGGATTCTCTCAAAAATGTTGCGACTGAGCATAAAAATGAATTCGGAAAGGCTATTCACAGCACATTGTCAACAATCAATAAACAGGTTTATAAGAGAATTTTAAAATTTGCATAATCACGTAAAATTAGGTTAATGATTGTGCATCACACTCATCAGAAATGTCACAATTATTCTACAACACTACACAAAAAATGGAGAATTTTGTTGAAAAGGAATTTGTTCAAATCCAGTCCTCAGGTTATTTTTAAAAATGATTCAACTTTGGAATTTAAAATTTTAGGAAAAACTCCAGAACGCATAAGTGGAAAATTCACCGAAGTGCTTGTCAACCTCCCTGAAGCTGAAAAACTTTTTGAAGAGCAGAAGGGCTTCATTACTCCCAAACGGGATGTCAACTATAAACGACGTGATTCATTTTTGGATTCTTCATTTGTCTCATCACTTGTTTCGCCTGATACATTAAAGTGTAATTTGCAAGCAACAACCATGGTTAGTACAACAAAAACGGGAAGACTTGAACCAGTTGATGAAGAAAAGAAGAATGAATGTGGTACTTCTTTAAGCTTTAAATGATTTTTAAAAGAAAATTTTATTAAATGCGTATAATTTTGTTTTACTTATTGACTGCCAAAAAATTTTTTCTGTCCCATAATTTATGAATTTTTCTCAATTGATAAAGACTTTTGCTCAAAATTTTTTTTTGAAAGTTAGAAAAGTTTTAACGCTTTGCCTTATCTTTCTTTAGATACCTTAAAAATGAGATTTCAAAGAGCAACAAAACTAGTCTTGGGCTTTAGAAGATTTGGAGTCCCTTTTAGTCATCTGTGGACTCTAGATCAATGCTTGAATACTAGCATTATTCGAACCCCTCTGCCTTAATGTCACGTAAAATTTTTCGTAAAATTTCTCTTACTTTAGTCATTCCTCTTATTATCTTTTTGTGTTAGCATAGATTGTTGCGCTTAAATGGCCCTAACATAAGTCTTTGCCCTTGCAAATATTTCCAAATACTAGGGTATTTTCTGCAGTAAAAATTTGTGTTAATTTCATCATTTTTTCATAATTTTAGATTTTTTATTTCATTATTTTTAAATATATTTTTCAAAATGATTGAAAATAAAGGAGCTTCTGAAACTGATGTAGTTGACACTTCTGTTGTTCAAAATGATGTCAACCAAGTAAATGAGGATTCAGCTTTGGTCAAAACTGATTTTAAAGAAAGTGATAGCAATGAAGGGACTCCTGTACGTACAGAAGATGATGGGAAACCGAGGTTTATATTTTATCGTTAATTTTAGATAATTCCAATTCTCGTTCAGATTCTTCTCATTAGCACAGATCACCGTAAAAGTTAATGATTTTGCATCCGCAGCGATTGCTTCTGTAAAAGAGAAATTTCTAGGCGAGGATTACTGGATTCCTAGGTTATTTTTGATTATTAAATTCTATTTGAAATACATGTGCCTTGTTCGGGCTCTTATCCCAAGTCTTGTTGATTTATTTTTCGAGTCGAAAATCCAATTGGCCGTGACTATTACCTTCAACGATCATTTTTGAGCATTTCTCTTGCTCCTTATTTTTTTATACATTCAATTAAAAATTTTCAGTGACCCTTATGAAGTTGTTGACATTCGTTCAGAGTTGCTGGCCTGTCACAAAATTGTTTATCCTTCTGATGGTCATATTGGTACAACTGCTTTAATGGTTGTTCAAGGCTTTTTAAAGAGTGATCCTTCAGTAGCTCTAAATCATGTTGTTTACACTTGTACTGAAGATGGCAAGAATAGACATTTAACAATTTTTCGTTCTTTTAACGCTGAGGAGGCTCTTGATTTTTGCAGACGTTGTGATGAATGTCGTGTTCTTTTTAATCTTCTTGGTATTTATTTTTCAAATTTTTTTACTAAAAATTATTTTTAGACCAAAAGAAGGATATTAGAAGGCCTGTTTGGGATGTTACTTATATGGTTTATTTTTTATTTTCTTACACTACTTTTGATTTTCTTTCAGATTAAAAATCACCCCCTTTGGAGAATGGTTCATATTGCCATATTATGCAATCGAACAGATATTTTCTCTGACGAGGGAATTGAATGTATAAAGAAATTTGGATATTCTGTGGATGGTACGTGTTTTTCGAATTTAGTAATAGAAATTTTTTGGGTCGGCGAGGACTGGCCGAACTATTTTTAAATTTAAATTCTACAAAATTTTCTTTTTAGATTTGACAAATGTCGTTTGCTCTCCTGAAGGGAAATATCCTTTAATGTTGGCAATAGAAAAACAGCAAGAGTCAATTGTTCGTTTTCTTCTTAAAAATGGCGCTAATCCAGGTGCACGAGATCCTAAGGGGAACAATTCGGTTAATTTTTATATTTATTTAGAAAGAATTTTTTAAAATTATATTTAGCTTCATTATGCAGCTTTGGCTTCAGCAAGTATGTTAGAAACCCTTTGGCATTTTGAATCTTGCAAGCCTCTTTTAAACTCAAAAAACAACGACGGGGAAACACCAACTCGTGTTGCATTTCAAAATTTAAATCCGCTTTGTCTAAAGACTTTGTTGGGTTTTGGTGGTGAATTAATGTTGAAGGCGACTGACAAAAATCCTCTTTTTGAGTTGATGCAATCTAAGGGGAAGACTGTTGAGTCAGTTCATTTATGTTTAAAACCCTTGTGTTTGGAAAAATTGTCTGTATAAACGAGTTGTACCTAAATAGAGTGTATCGTTAAGAAAAATTTTCGAGCTACCTCCCCTCCTATGTCAACTAAGTTTTAAAAATTGGTCCGATTTTTTATAAATTTACTAAAAAAAGTCAGCCCAGTATTGTTTTTATCAACAAGAAAGATACCCCTATTTCTCTTCACATAACCCTTCTCTCTCCTTCTTCTCCACATCTTTCTTTAATATATATTACTCTTAAAAATTTTATTTTTTTAATTAGAATGATTCGAGTTGTTTTGGAAGCATCTCCTGGAGTTCTTAATGAACGAGACCTGGCCACTGGAAACACAGTTAGTAATTTATTTTTTATAAATTATTTTATTTTAAGTGCCTTCATGCCGCTCTCTTCAAAACTTCACTTATGAGTGTTCTTCATTTAAAACATACAGAGCTTGATTTAAATTCAAAAAATAAAGCAGGGCTAACACCTTTACATCAATTTGTGATAGCTGGGGATTTTGGTTCTTTATTCATTTTTTTTTATTTTGGAAAAAAATTATTTTAAGGTTTAACAATGTGTATTGCCTCTTACGGCGCTGATTTAAATGTTCCTGCTGACTATTCTAAAATGTCAGCTCTTCATTTGGCTGTTTCTCAACGTAATTTGGAAATTACTCGTTTACTTTTAAGTCTTGGCGCTGATCCAAATCCAGTCAATAGTCATGGAGATACTCCTCGTCATATGGCTGCTAAATTGAATGAGTTAGTTTTTAAATTTTTATTGATTCAATAAATATTTCTGGAAGTGAGTCTGAAAATTTTGGGAGACTTTTCCATGTTTTTTGGCAACTAATAAGAGTTTTTATCGGAAATTCTCTTTATACCCCTTTTTGGAAAGCTGGGGTTGAGTTAATGTCATTTTATGTATTTAAAACCTTTATGTTCCCAACTTCTTTATTCAAAACTTGACAAGGATTGAATTTTGTTTATTTTTGATATTTAATCGGCTCCTCGATATGAGTTGAAAGATTAGAAAATGCATTTCAAGCCTTTAAAGTATCTGGAGATGGTCATGATTAAGCTTTTTGGAGCTCCACTTCTCCTTTAATTTTCTTTAATTAATTACATTAAGATTTGAGCTTCTCAAAAGCTTAATAATTTGTGGGGCAAAACGCTGTCCAGCAACAAAAATTGGTTGTGTTTCTGGCTGTGTAGATAATAAAGCATTAAGAGCAATCAAAAAGCCTTCCTCTTCAATGCCAATAATAGTACCTGAAGCAAAGAAAAGTCCAACATCTTTAGTGGAAGAATTAGAAAATCGGACATTCAGTAAAGAAATGTTGAGATATAATAAAATATTGGATGCTGAACATAATTCAATTTATAATGAAATGATTGGGGTTTTGAATGAAAAAAATGAAGATGAAAATTCGAGTATAATAAATATACTTTCTTTGGATGGTGGTGGAATTCGTGGTTTGGTTATTACTCAGGTTTTTTTAATTTTGTTTAGAAAAGAGGAAAGAGAAAAATAGGGGAATTTTTTGGATTAATTTTATTTGAACGAGAAATGGAGGCAAAGAATAGAATAAGATTTAAAACCCAAAGTAACAGACTTTCCAGACCTTTACAATATAATGATATTAGGAATCAGACCCGTAACCAGGGGGTAGGGTTGCCTTTGGCGCAGAAAAATTTTCCCCCTTGCCCCCTCCACTCCCCCCCCCCCCCCTTCCGAAAAAAATCCTGGTTACGGGCCTATTAGGAATAAAATGGAACTAGGAAAACTGATGTATTTTTGGATTAACATTAAGGAAAAGAGTGATTTCATATTTTTTCTCATTCATTTTCCCCTTGTTAAATTATTTGTACTATTTTTCAGTAAAATTTTTTCAGATAATGTTAGAAGTTGAACGTGTTATGGGCGAATCTATATTTGAATATTTTGATTGGGTGGCAGGAACTTCAACAGGTTCATTAGTTGCTGCTGGTCTTGCAAGTGGACAGACTCTTCGAGAACTTCAAAGGGTTTTAAAAAAATTTTTTTTTGAATTTTTATTTTTTAAAGGTTTATATTCGTTTCAAGGACCTTGTTTTTGATAATCGTCGACCACACAATACAGCCGTTTTGGAGACTTTTATTCAAGAAGAATTGGGAAAAGATAAATTGTTGTTTGATTTGGAATGGCCAAGGTTCCTTTTTAATTTTTTATTAAAAAAAATATTTTTTTAGACTTTTATTTACTACAACAAAAGCAGATTATTTCCCTGTTCAATTAGAATTAATGAGAAATTATACTCTTCCAACAACTGATGATGAGAATTCGGAACTTGGATTTAAAAATTCAGAAAGTTTGTTTTGATTCTTTTTTGAAATTTTATTTTAAATTTAGAATTGTACTTATGGAAGGCATTGAGACGTTCTTCAGCAGGTTACAAATTTTTAAAAATCATTTTAATATTTTTGGAAAGAGTATAATCGAAAAGTCTTCTTATGTCCGGAGCAGGACGAATAGGCGCCATTTTTTCGGCGCAGCCATACCAACCTATTCGTCCGCGCCTATTAATCGTGTCCACTCATGTCAGAGGATTTGAGTATGACTCGGTCCCTCGGCTCTTTCTACCACAGAATTTAGGTTTAGTTTGTTTCAACGTATCTTGTTGTGTTGTGTAGTATCAAAACTGTCTATATATATTGTATTTACATTTAGCCATGAGTTTTTGTTAGACTGGACGTGTAGTACATAGATTAGTCTTCTCGTATTGCGTGCATTAAATCTTCACCTTTTTTCCTGGTTAATTACTAAAATTATTTCTTGGTCTGTTTTCAATCTTCCTTTCTCCTTGGCATTTTAAGCTCTCTATTTTTAATTCAAAAAATTTTTTTAGCACCTACATTCTTTTCTGCTGTTGATAATAAATATATTGATGGAGGTATAATCTCAAATAATCCATCACTTGAATTATTACAAGAAGTACAATTTTGGAATAGTTTTAATAAATTAAAGGTTTTTTTAAATTTCTTTATTAAAAAAATTTTTTCCTTAAAGAATATTCCAAAATCTGTTCGTATTGGTTGTCTTTTAAGTATTGGAACTGGTTCTATTCCTTCAACAAAATTGGAGGTTTGGAAATTTTTATTTAAGAAGAAATTAATTTTTAAAATTAAGCCGGCACATTTAGAGTTAGCACAAAATTATATCACACAACCAATAACTTCTTATAATGCTGTGATTACTATTGGACAGATTTTGATTGATCAGGTTAGTTGAATTTTAATTCTTTATTAGAGTTGGAGCCAGTGCTTGGAAGCTCCAAAATTTGTATTTGTACTTTGGTACGAAGTACGAGTACGAGCAAAATTGAGATTTCCAAGCACTGGTTGGAACCTTAAAACATTTTCGAGACCTAATATTTTTACTAAAATTTTTTAGATTTTCTGTTTTAAATGTGAAAACTTAGCCCGGGTTTGTCCAAAAAATTCGAATACCTTTCCCAACATTTCAAAAACTTTGAATTCTTTAAATTAATTTTGTATAATTCACAAAAAGGTATCAGCAACAGAAGGAGCCCCTGTACACAGAGCTGGAGCTTGGTGTATATCTTCAAGAACACCCTATTTTAGACTTAGCGCTCCTCTTCATAAAGAAGTTCAAATGGATGCAAAAGGTGATGAAGAAATTGCTAAAATGATGTGGGATTGTATTGAATATATGTAAGTTTTTTTTGGAAATTATTTTTAATTACCTTTGGGCCTTGTGAAAATACCCTCAATCAGGATTAGATTAGAGGTGTTCCTGGTAAATCAACGGATATCCGGAACTGACAAGGGAACATCTTTTACTGTCAGTGCGAATTTGATCATTTTTTTATACCATTCGATGGAGGACTCTCGATTTCCTATGGTGAGATGATTCGTTTTTTTTTTGCAAAATGACTCTGGGCCAAGTTATGGCCGTTCAAATGAGGGCAAAAGAATTACAAGAGGTGCGTGGAAAAAAAGAGGGGAGAAAAATGTAAACAGGATAAACAAAGGTTTTTTGAGGATGAAAAATAAGAGAAGTTGTCTCGGCCCAATGTCATTTTGCAAAAAACGGATCACTTCACAATAGGAAGTCGAAGGTCCTCTATCGAATAGTATAAAAACTAATTTTTAATTTTTTTCTCAGGTATATCCATCAGGATTATGTAGAGAAAGTTTGTACATTATTACGTAAGGTAGGCAAATCATCTAAACGTCGAGAATTTTTTGCTTCATGTAATAATTATACAACGAATCCTTCCACACCGGTTAAATAAAAAATAATTTTAATTTTGTGTGATATTTTTAAGAATCGAAAAGCCTTTTTTAAATTGTGCATTATATTTTGTTCACTTTAAGAAAATTATATATCTCTCTATTAAATTGAATCCTCAAAAAATTTATTTTTCATTCCTTCTAAAAATGTTTTTTTTCTCTCCGTCCAATTTATTCAAAATTAAATTTTCTTCTTTTTATTTGCATTTTAAATTTTCATTTCTGTGAAATGATTAGACATTGATTAGCTTTAATTATTGGCTTGTAATCATTAAACTTTTTCATTAATCTCTTTTATTTTAAAATAAATTTAAAAATATGTCCTTTGATTTTTCAAAAAAAAACTAACAAATTTTTTAAACCTAGTAACAATTTTCCCTTCAATTCCGAAATATCCCAAAATTTAGTATAAATCCCCACCTATCCAGTTTAAAGACAACAGTGAAATAGTTCCTCAATAAAATCGAAAACTTTTATTTAACATAAGGCAGTCAAAAACAAGAAAATGAGCAAAAGAATTTTTTAAAAAAATTTTTAAATTTAATATGCTTTAAACAAAAAATATTTTTTCAATTTTTGCTTTCCTAAACCTTTTCTTTTTCGAGTCGATATTCTTTTAAATTTGAGTTTTTGAAAATCTTTATTTATCAAATCTTCTTTTTCTTCCGTTACTAATTTCTTTCCTAATACATAAGGCTTTAATTTAGACCAAACTTTCTTTTTGTTAATAAACAAAAAATTCTTGAAAAAATTAAAAGCAGCTTTGCACAGACGTTCATGTTCACCTTCAAAGACCCAGCAAGCTCCACGTTTAGGACTGAAATTTAGATTTAAAAAAGAAGTATGAGAAAGAGATTTGTAGATAAAATCTTAAATTGTCCTGAAAAAAATTTTTTTCGAAAAATAGAAAAAGTCTTAAAAATCCACTTTACGATAATTATTGGAACCGCTATAATGAAAAATAAAAATTTCTACAAACATATCATCAGAAAGATAGATTGCACTGTGGCCATGAGGAATTCCTCGATCAGTATGTCTTAAAGCGAAATAACCCAATCCTTTTATTGCATTACGTGATTGAATATCAATATGTAATGAAGAATAATATTCCTTAACATAAATTACAATAGCCTCCCAAAACTAAAAAACAAATTTAAAAAACAATTTTAATTAGTGTAAAACTAATTTAGCGGCATCCTCTTCATCTCTATTTCTTTCTCCGATAAACATTTTTTGAGAGGCCTAACAATAAAATAATTTAAAAAATTAAATTAAAAAGATCTGAAATTCAGGGAAATTTTGTTTATAAAAATATTTTAATTAGAATAAAGTTATGAATAAAAGTTAGTTTTTATGGGAGCTTTTGAGCTTATATGATGATCTGGCCAAATTTTTATATTTACAAAATTAAAAGGACTCAAAAATTTAATTTTCATTGAATTTTCTAAATAAAAATACCATTTTAATAATTTCGTTTTTAGATGTTCGTCTGTTATCAAAATAACTTATATCACCAAGAAATACACCCGAATAAACAGCTCCAATTGCAAGTGCTCCTTCTTCAAGTCGGGAATTAAATATTTCCTTTTTAAAAACTTCCTCAATAATATTTCTAATCTGTTTAAATAATTAAATGATTTAAATGTTATCAAAAAAATTAGAGGAATTGATGATCAAAATACCCCCCCCCCCCTCAAACATCAATTCAACAAAGGCTAAACACTTTTCTCAATATAACGCCGTGGAAGACTTGATTTATCTGTCCACATATCACCATAAAACAACCGACAAACACAAAAATAAATAAGAAATTTGTAAACCATCGGAATTCTAGTCATCCCTCCAACAAGTAAAACCCTGTCGAAACCAGTAGAAGGTAAATCCTCCTCACGATTCTGTGATACAAGTTCGCTATCTAAAGATCGTTGTTCTACTTCCGGTTTAATTTCTTCTTTTATTTGTTGACACATTTCCACAAATCTTTGTGTTAAATTTAAAGTTAGTTGTTCAAATTTAGAACGAGTTAATATTATTTGAAAATGCTTAAGTTCTCCATTAGTATCAGCAATAATATTTGGAAGAATAATTTCAATTTGAGTAGAATTAGAAAGTTCACATTTTGCTTTTTCAGCAGCTTCACGTAAACGTTGAATTGCTATAGAATCCTTAAAAAATTAGATTAAAAAGTCCAATTGAAGGGAACGAAAGCTATAAAGGCAATGGACAACGGGTAGAATGATCCTTATCGGTTCGAAGGACCAATCGAATTTCCTTTATTCCAACATAAAATTTAAAAACAACACGCCTTATTTAAATCAATTCCATTCTCTCGTTTAAATTCAGAAACAAAATAATTAACAATAACATTATTAAAAGCCTCTCCAGAAAGGCAAGTATCATATTTATTTGACACAATTTCATAACCAAAATATCTCAGCTTCAAAACAGAAAATTCAAAAGAGCCTCCATTTAATTTGCAAACAGCACTAAATTGATTTAATAAAATTTTAGGAATCTTGACCCCACTTTATTTTTTCGCAAAATTGTTGCGATAAGTACCCAGTTCTAATGTTGGGTTGACCACTACTTCTATTGTTAATAGGTTCATTGTATTTCTCTCAGGGTGGCCTTTTCCAAAACACCGAATGTTGAAAATAGGGAAAAAATAAGGAGAAGGCCAAAAATAGAGGAAATCCTCTATAAATAGGATAAAAAACCACCATGATTTCCATAAAATTTTTTAGTGAGTAGTCTACTCAAGAAGGTTATGGCAATATCGGGTCATTTCTCCTCGAAAAAAAGTATTAGCATGGGATATATACCTAAGACAAGAACTGAATTTTGAACTACAGTACCTAATATAGTGGAAAGAAAGTCTCGAGAAAAGCCCCAATTATTCTCTAGTAATTAATATAAATCTAAAAAACCCTCTCAAATAACAATCCAATCCATAACCAAATGCTGCAGCAATAGAATCAGAAACAAAACGTAAAATTTTCATTCCAGCAAGCTCCCCAGCTTGTTTCAATGCTTGTTTTTGTGAATAATTAAAATAATTTGGAACAGTAATTATTGCATCCCCAACTTTTTTATTTAAATAATTTTCTGTCATTTCTTTTAATTTAATTAAAATAAAAGAAGTTATTTGTTGAGGGGAATAAAGCTTTCCTTGGATTTCAATCAAAACATCGTCCCCATTTGGAGATTTTAAAATTTTGTTTGGAAATTCTTTACTTTAAATATAAAAATTTAATCAATTTAAAAAAGTAAAACACAGTAGTCGGAACCTCACTAAAATAATTACATACTTGATACCTCAAGATAAGTTTTATAACTAAGGTTGGCTAGTTAGTAGGGAAGTATGCCTAACATAAGTGCCATTATAAATACAGAAATGTCACGAGTCGAGAAAAAGTGCTGGTCGGATTTTAAAATTCCTCTCGGAGCGTGTTTCAGATCGAAAAATGCCTTGGCCTTGATTAACTAACTAGTGACATCCCTGGTTCGGAACCAGGTTATTTTTTCAACCACAAGGTATTGAAGGTAATGTAGTAAAATAGGCCATAATTGAGAGAAGCTATTACTCTTCATTTAAGAATATAAATGGGAAAGAACTAACCAAAAAATCAAAAATAAGCTTACATAAAATCCTGAACCTCTTTATCATCAAATTTCCTTCCAATTAATCGTTTAATATAAAAAACAGTATTTTGACTATTCAAAACAGCCTGTCTAAGTGCTGGAGCCCCAACCAAACATTCCCCTCCACCATTTTTTGTAAAAGAAACAACAGAGGGAGTAGTAAAAGAACCTTCATCATTTTTGAGAACCTTTGCTTTTCTTTCCTCTAAAATTGCAACAGACGAATTTGTAAACCAAAATTAATTCCAATAACAGGCCCTCTTAACTCTAATTTTTTTACAGAAAAATTGTTAAAAGTTGGTTTTAATTTCCTCATATTTAATGAAGAAATTTATCTGGAAAAATATAAAAATATTTCTTGGTTAATGAACATTGGTAGGGTTGTAGGTTTTAGACTGAACCGGAGAACCGATGATTTTTCGGTTCGGATATCGGTTCGGCTCAGGATATCCGAAGATTTTCCACGAAACGACAACCCTAAACATAGGTATTAATTATTAAGATATTAATTATTAAAATATATAAATTTCTTAAATATAAACAAGCAATGAGGTCAGAAGGATTTCCACATTACTGGTCAATATGGGGAAAGAATGAAGGGTTAGAATGAGTAAAACAAGTTTGGTTTATATTTATATAGAGGGGAATAAGGTAAGAAAGGGCAAAGTTAATGAAGAAATAAGTAGGTGATTGATAGTTATCTAAATTTATAAAAGCAATTTTGAATGATGAACGGCATTACAAAGGGGAATTTTGAATACGAAAAAAATTCAAGATTATAGTCTTTAAAAGCATATTCATTCCCTTCGCATAAACTCGGAAAATAGTAAAAACTGTGAAAGAAGACTGGCATTTTTAATTACTTTTGTGGTATGGCTGCATTCCAAAATTTTTGCATGGTACGTCAAACGCCAATTTTTTAAATTTTTAAAACACGCGAACGCCAAAACGCCAAAAATAACGCCAAAACGCAAACGGCATGGCGCACAACACAAAATTTTGCATTTTTGTCTTACAATGCCACACTAAATTGTTGAATTCTTGAACTATTGTTGTGTTTCTGTTTAGATGTTTCAACGGAACAGTTCTTATGTTCTTGCCATTTTTCTTGGAAATTTTGGTCTTGGTCTATTACATACAGCTTTTAATTTTTATTATGTCAAGGTTATTTTATATCCTTTAAAACACCACAGATTTATCTTTCTGTAGGTTTTCCTCAACATATTTCAAGTTAACGAATACTGGTTTAATTTGGCTCAGCTTCTTTTTCTGATATGGAATGCAATTAATGATCCCTTATTTGGCTATTTACAAGTAGGAATTTACTCAGAATTATTTTTTAAATTTAAATTCCCAGGATGTAGGGGGAACATGGATGCAGAGCCGTGCAAGGATTTTTACTTACTTTGGACCTTTTTTTGTCATCTCTTTCTTGATTACTTGGTTTCCTTGGGGGAATAAAGATTCCCCTCCGTATGTGGAAGGGCTACATTTGATTGTTTCGCTGTTTTTCTACGATGCTTTCTTCAGGTTTTTTAAAATTTTTTCATGTTTCCTAACCAGAAATTGGGAGAAATCCTGTTAATGAGATTTCCTTATCCTTTCATGACTCGGTTTCGAGGCGTATTTTCGGCCCGATCAAATGTTTTTATACTTACCTCACCGAAATTCTGTGTTTCTCATTAACGAGATTTCGCTGTATAAATAATTTTCTTGATGATTTTTAGCTGTATAGGTGTAGCTTGGTCTGCATTGTATTCAGATACCACTAGAGATCACAGAAAACGGGTTAAAGGCATAAAATTCGCTCAACTTGCGTCTCTTTGTTCAGTCAATGTGATTACGATTACAGAAAAAGTTTCAGGCAGTCTTGAAGTATTTTTTTATTAATTTAATATAACGACATAACCATTCTTGAGTGTCAATCCGAAATTGTTATGGTTCTTCATTGACTCGGTTTCCGAGGAGTAACCGAGTCACTGAGGAACTTTGTTGTCTATTCCTGACTGGGTTTCTCCTTGTTATCTTTCCACATTTATTGGGTTGTTAAAAGTAGCACGAATTCCTCGCAACCCCCGTTCCCCGTAAAATTTGGTCCTGCCTCGTAATTTCAAATCCAAGTTAATTTGGTTTTTTTAGAAATTTGAAATATTCCAATATGTTTGTGTTACTCTGGCAACTATTTCACTTTGTTGTCTATTCCTGACTGGATGGTTGGCAAATACTCAACAAAATAATAAAACAGATGCCAATGAAAATCTCGTGGAGAAGGACGAGCTGGAGGAGGATGAAAGTAAATTAAATGAATGGAGTTGGAAAAGGATTTATGGGCTTACAATGGTTTGATTTTTAAATTTTTTTCAAAAATTTAAACATTAATTTTAAAGCAAGTTTTGTCCTCAAAAGACTTCCAGTATGTAATATTTACAAATTTTGTACACACATGCAGGTTGAGTTAGAATTTTTTATATTTGGTTTTATAAAATCTCAGGACAACTGCACATATGAATTTCGCCTCAATTGCCACAGATATTCTTATACCACAAAGTATACTTCCGAAAGGTTCTCTACAATTAAGTGCGTTTTTTGCTGTATGTACTTTAGTTCCACAGGTATAAATTCAGATTAAATAACTTCAAATATTTGGTTGAGGTTTTTTTGTTGACCTTTTATAGAATAATTTAGAGAATGGGATTTTCAAAAAACCTGGATCCTTGACTTTGATTTCAAGTAAGGATCTTGACCAGATTCTTGACCTTGAGTCAAGGAAAAATCAAGGAACGCTGAAAAATGCCTTGATCTTGACTCTGGATCCAGGAAAAATCAACGTCTGGATCCAGATCCAGCTCGCCCTCTAGAATAATTCTCTTCAATTTACAGGTTTTAGTAATTTTAAACGACAAATTACTTCTTAGAAGCGGTGCATATCTTGTATATTATTACGGAATAATTGCTTCAATTTGTTCAACCATTTTGTATATATTCTCAAGTAATCCATATGCTGTGTTATTGTTTATGCTCGTTGACAGGTTTATTTTTTCTCTTACAATTTTAACTAGGTAATCTTTTATTGTCCAATCTAACTTTTTTTTCTGTTAGATAAAAATTGATGTAGTGTTAGTTTAATTTTTCTGATCAATGATATGTTCTAGAGATCGAGGTTTTTGAAAAGTCTGGGCCTGTTCCTGGTTTTGATTTATTGACCTGGGCCGGATCACCGGCCTGTAGTCCAGGAAAAACCCAGGGGTTGGACTCTGGGTACAGGAAAAACCCATGCCTTGGTCCAGACCTAGCTCGGTCTCTAGTAGGTTAGTCCTAAATAACGTTCCTGAAATTTCGACAATATTTATTGTTATTCTACCAAATTTTAATTAGTCAAGAAAATTAAGATTTTAAATAAAAATAAGCAAAAATAATAAGCAAAAATCTCTTTTATTTTTAGCATAACTGTTCATTCAACATCCCCTCTTTTCAACATTTTACTTTCAGAGGTTATTGAAGAAGACAAAATTAGATATTCAAGAAAGTTTGTTTATCAAATTTAACACAAAAATAATTTTATTTTCTGTTTAAAGGAATCCAATTTCATCCTTAATATTCAGTTTAAATGCTCTAATTGTTAAACCAGCTATTTCGATTGCTCCCGTCATTATTGTATTTTTGTTGAATCGAAATGGATATGCACTTTACCAAAAAGAGCAAATACGATCGGTAATGAAGAGACTAAATTTATAATTATTTGTAAACATTACTGGATTAGGACTTTGTTATTTACAAAAGGTGTTGAGGGAAAGGACCAGAGAGTGTGAAAAAAAGGAGCTCGTTTTCCCCTCCCCGTATATTTAAAAACTCCCAAAGACTTTGATACTTTGACTGGTGGTCATAATTCGGCCCAAATTATTTTCAAGAAAACGGACATCACTCCAAAATATGTAGTTAGGGGGTCTTATAGGGAATGCTACCAAAATATAAAGAAATTTAGACACAGTAAACAATTATCTCTTGTTATACTTATAAATCCTTAATTTTTTCATAACATTTCATTTTTAGTTGGAATTACGTTCTTGTATGGCAAATGTGATTTTCTCAACCCCACTTATTTTGGGTGCATTGGAATATTGGATATTTAGACGATATTCACTTCGCCACAAGCATAGTTTAGTAGGGCTACCAATCTAACAATATTTGATATTAAGTATTATGTAGGTTTCATATTTTAATTTACACTTTATTAATTTGTTATTTTTAAATTGTTGCATAATATTCTCGTCTTTTCCAAAATTATCGTTTATTATATAGAGATTATCCCGGTTATTTTATCATTCTTGCTTGATTTTGAATTATCACTTGTCAACTTTCCTGTTTTTATTTATTTGTGATTGAACAAAATGCTTGTCATTTTTCAATACTTTATATTATCTTTTAAAAATTACGATTAGATTTTTCTTTTTAATATAAAATTAAATACCGTATTTCCTAAAATAGTACTCCCGGGAGTACTATTTTTCAACCCTCCTCCAAAGGGGAGTACTATTTAAGGGGGGAGTACTAATTCAGGGGGGAGTATTATTTTTCAACCTACCTCCATGATTTATCTTAGGAAAATTTGTCTCAAAAGTTTAAATGTTTAAATCAATTAGAGTTCGTAATTTGAAAAATGCCGGATCCAAATTTGGATTTTCAAGAAATGTGGATTCCAAATTAGTATAAAATTGAGCAACTTGCGAGACTTTTAAACACAAGTGACTTAAAATAGGGTTATTGAGGGAAAGCAAAAAGGATATTAGTGGATTTGGAGTGATATCCAGGGGTATAATGGGATTTTAAGCGATTAAGAGATATCGATAGATTAAGTTGGATGTCGAAAAAATTATCAGGATTGAGAAGGATATTGACGTTTTAGCGGATTAGTAGGGATGCCAGGTAATTTTTGATTAAAAGCGATATCGTGAGATTTGAGGGGATAAAGTTGATATTAAAATATAATAAAATGATTATCAATAATAATAAAATGATATTAATAAAATGATTATCAATTAATTTTTTGGGATATAGTGGAAATATCTCTGTCTAGGAATTTATCAGGGGGTTAACTAGTCTCGTGTGTATCCCTCTATTAACTAATCTCATAGGGTTAACTAATCTTGTGTGTATTCCCCTCAAATCCCTTCATCAAACCTTAATCCAATGATATCTTTTAAATCCTACTTGATCAATCCAGAACCCATTTTATCATCAGATATCAATCCCTTTATATCCCCCAAAATCCACTTTTACCCCACCAATTAACCGGATTGTATTTCTTTAATCTCCGAAAAATTTTAGGTTAAAATTTCAGTTCGTTTTCGGTTAACCGAAGGCTTTCCGGTTTTGTTTATCGGAGAATCAAGTGAAACCGACAACGCTACTTAGAATAAATAAAATAATTCAATGAGTCTCTTTTTATTTTTTCAAATATAGGAGAAAAATTTTTAGGGGGGAGTGCTATTTTAGGGGGAGTACTAATTCAGGGGGGAGTACTATTTTTCAACCCTCCTCTAAAGGGGAGTACTATTTAAGGGGGGAGTGCTAATTCAGGGGGGAGTACTATTTCAGGAAATACGGTATGTAATTTATTTAAGTTTTATGAATTTTTGGACTTTTTAGATCAAACAAAAAACCTACATCTCTTCAAAAAAATTATCTACATATTTTTGTAACTAATATAAAAATGGAATTATAATTTAAATATTTTTTTTATTAATCTATTAATTAATTAAAATAATTTCTTTGTCTATTCAAAGTGTTCTGCTACTTTGATTTAAAGTTGTTGCCTCACAAAATTTAATTAATTCCTCAAAATCAAATTTATAGACATATCGCTTTCCCTGCACTTTAGACATTATTTTCTTGTCGTAATAGTAACGAAGGGTACGAGACAATTTGTCATAGTTCATGTTAGGCTTGCTTTGAGAAAAAATTTTTTATTTTTTATAAATTTTTCTTGTCAAACCCTTTTCGTTGTCCCCATCTTTTTGCAACTTCATCTGGGTCCATTAATTTAAATTCGCCTAAAATTGGAATTTTTTAAAAGAGGGGAGGTTATTAAAACCATGTTTTCCATGCCACTCAATACAAGAAGAGTTTTCTCTTGACATGAGCAATTCTAAAAGAAATTGCCATAGTTGAGTTTGTCCATTGCCTTAATTTTGTTTATTTTATACCTTAAAGACGTGAAAGTTAAAAATAAAAAGTAAGTGAAATTCCTTAAATTTTATTTTTAAAAATTTTCCGTCACTTTGTAATGTTGGTAGTGCCAAAAATTGTTTTAGAAGATTGGATGGTTCTACAAATTCTAAATATTATAATTTTCAAAAATATATTAGTTAAGCTATCTGACTTGGTGGAGTTGAAGTTGTCGGCTCCAAGTAATTCTTAGAAATTCAATTTTTAATAAAAATTAAAATTTTCTTCCAAATAATCAGTGTTTTGGAAGCTCGTACAAAAATCCGTATTCGTATCGAGAAAAATTATACAAGTACGAGTACGAGCAAATTTTAAATTACCAAACACTGTCAACAATCATGGTCAATTGAAGTATCAGCTTTTTCTCTTATTTGTTAGATGGATACTTCACAAAAATCAAAGTTTTTATTCAAGTCAACGTTTTATTACAACGTTCACAACTTTCCGAAAAACTCAGTCAACAATTTTTCAAAAATTTCTTTTTATGTTCTTATGAGGACGGATATACCCTACACTCTAATTGAAAATTAACAAACATAAACCGGGTAGTGATGCAACAATTGGATTTGTGACTGTTGATGTTGTATCGAATTTCCTAATTTTAATCCAATATCAACTAAAATTTTCTTACATTTTCTTTTATTCCTTATATCTTTTACTTGCCTCTCCCTTCCCAATACAAAACTGTTGGAATTTCTCTTTTAGAATAAAACAATGAATCATTCCTTCTGTCAGCAAGAAACATTTTTTTAAATTTTAATTAGAAATGGAAGGAAATCATTTTTAGGAAAAAATATTTTTTTATTTTGTGTAATGTTTACATTAAACATTATCTCGAGGCACTAAAAATATTAATCCCCTTAATAATAATAAAGCATAAGCCATTAGATTAACTTTTTTTTGTAAAGCAAATTATAGCCATTAACATACAGTAAGGTGCAAAAGTTTATGCGGCGGCACATTGCAGGCAGATAAATCGATATATCTCTGGAGGAAAAGGGACCTAAATTAAATCGATTATATTTTAATTAAGTATAGGTTATCTGTTTATAATATCCATTAAAAAAATGTTTAATACTCATGTCATTCAAAATTTATTCACGTAATAACATATTTACCTCCCATTTTGGGGGAGCAAAAGTTTATGCGGCATATAAAAAAATTTTTTTTTGATTCTAAAACAAAACGAAAAAAATTACAAAAAATTTTATAAACATTTTCATTGATATTGAATGGAGAAAGGGCAAAAACGAAGTCTTTACTCGCTTTATACATTGAGATCTCAAATCTCAAAAATCAACGGGAAATGAGGTTACACTACTTCGAAAAATATTTTAGCTCCCTAGGGCCTGTATCAAAAATTCTTTTTGGGCTCATTAGAAAGCCCATAAAATTTGCTACAAAATACACTTGGTCTCATATGTGTGAAAAATTTCATCTTCGAGATAGGGTCGCATGAATTCACAAGGTTGTCAAAATCACCCGAAATACCCTATAAAATGCTCATTTTTATTTCTTCGGTAATTCATGCCACCCTACCTCCGAGTTGAAATTTTTCAAGTATAGGAGACCGACCTTATTTTGTAGTAAATTTTATGGGCTTTCAAATGAGCCTAAAACAAGAATTTAAAAATAACAATAAGGGTTCGAAAATATTTTTTCAATCACTGTACCCCGATTTTACGTTGATTTTTAAGATTTTGGATCTTGATGAAAAAATTATTTATCGAACTCATTCTTTTTGTTTTTCCATTCAGTATCAATGAAAATGCCTATAAAAAATTTTTAAATTTTTTTCGACTTGTTTTAGAACCAAAAAATTTTTTTTCCTATAAAACGCATAAACTTTTGCTCCACCAAATTTTGAGGTAGTTAGGTGTTTATGCTTATTTTTTTTGAATAAAATGTATATTGGAAATTTTTTTTATAAATTTTAGTAAAACAATACCTACTCTTAATTAACATATAATTGATTTAATTTAGGTCCCTTTTCTTCCTGGGATATATCGATTTCCCTGCCTGCAATGTGCCGCCGCATAAACTTTTGCACCTTACTGTATAAAGGGAAAAACTTTTTTTATAATCCGTCAAAACTACCCCTTAATAAACATAAATATACACAATTTTAACATAAAAAGATAATATTTTTAATGGATAGGGTGTTTAGAAGGCACAAATTGCATACAAAAATAAAGGGAACTTTTTGTATCTTGGAACTGTCAAATCCAAAAATTTTTTACAATTTTTAAAACAGCTGGGGCCAAGATGCAAAGAAATTCTAAGGGTGTTGAACAGGTTTAATTAATGTATATTGCCCTAAACTGTAATTAAGAAGGGTCCTTATAGTTTTTATATACCTGTGGGTCATTTAAATAGAAGATATATAAAATATCTAAAAATAATAAAAAGAGGTGTGAGTCTAATATTGAGCAAGTCATTATGAGAATAAAAAAATGAAGAGATAAATACAATTGCGAATACATGTAGTCGAACCTCAACTGAACGTTCCGTTTCGGACAGAAAAAATCTGAGTTAAAGTGAGAGTGACGTAAAAGTGAGATTCGACTGTATAATAAACACATAAATTGGCCTCAAATATATTAAAATTAGTCAAAAAATTAAATTTAAAGTCTTTCAATCTTTAAGGCATCCCAAGAGTTTGTTTAATTCGTTCCAAACAAATATTTGCTCCATTTTGACAGTCAGAGGACATTGGCGAAAAATTGAGAAATCCATGAGGCAAAGAATCAAGCAAATCTACGCTATGTACCTTCCCTCCAGAGTCTCGGACCTTTTTTGCAAACATTATAGTATCGTCAAGTAATGGGTCAAGATGGCAAGCCTTTAACAGAATTTTTTCACGCTTATCTTTTTATAAAAAAAATTCACCACAAAACGGATTGGAGGTAATTTAGCAAGAGTTTCAGCTGGTGTATACATAGGCGACATTAAATGTTCACGTGGAAGTTTAAGTTTTAACAATTCAGTAAAATGAGAATGATGATGGACTGCTTCCTAAGAATTAAAAAATAAATATTTTAATTTCAATAAAAAATTTTTACTTTTTGTTGGACTTTCGCTGCACTCATTGGAGACATTGTTGCAGCACGTGTAAGCTTCTTTTTGTCAACGCTTCCTAATGGTTCCATTGGTGTATCAAGCCATTCAGTTATTTTGTCGGTTGCATGCCCTGCAGCAAGGGCAGCGGTGTCTGCTAGACTTTGACTGAGTGAACGGGATTTGTTTCTCTGAATAATAAAATTAACAAATTCAAGAATTCCAACCCCCACGGAAACCTATAGCCGAGGTTTGTCAAGTAAATGGGCGGGTAACTCGATATTAATATTCTTCCCACCCGACTGAACCCTGATATAAACCACAAAAAATCGTAACAAGAAAATTAAAACTAACTGAAAGTCGCTTCTTGCTATGCAATGGAGTACATCCTAAGCTTGAACCAGGACTAAAATAACTCAAACGTCCTTGACTGTCATCTTTATTGCTTGTATTAGAATGTAAAATATTTCGAAAGAAAGAAGTGCTTGACGCTGTACTCGACGGAGTTGATTGTTGTTGAGTAATATCTGGAGCAAGAATTGATGTTGGGGTCAGCAATTTATCATTGGAACGTTCAGCTGCAGTAAAAACCTCAGTTTCTTCTGATTCATCACCAAATACTTTTGAGTCAGTAGATGCTTGATCAGTAAAAGTATTTATTGAACTGAAAAAATTGAAAATAAATTTATACAAGAAAAATAAAGAGAACAGAAGAACACAATTCAGGTGCCAGCAAGATATCGAACCTATCCCTTTTGCTATGTTATATATCAGAATGCGTTATGTTAAAAACTCTCCAAGTTATGCGTTATGTTAAAATTATGTTAAAAAAGTTATGTTAAAAAAGTAATGCGTTATGTTAAAAACTCTCCAAGTTAAAAGCAACATTACAATCCTCATCCCAGCTAAAACCAGGATATAAAGATTAAGAGCCTTTAGTAAGGCAGAAAAGGATATACCCCAAAATATTGGTAACTTTTTAGTAAAGCCGAAAAATATTCTAAAAATTAAATCAAAAATGCAACCTTTTAGTAATTGGATGTATTTGTAAATAGTCAATCAAGCATTGGTCAAAATTTGTTGTCGAAAGAAAAATATGTGCCGGATCAGCATCTACTCTAACCGATTGCATTGCAGAATCTTCTTCATCATCTTCAGCATTTGGCCTGTTATCCCCTTCATCTTGAGACTCTCCTCCTCCTCCAACATTTTCTGTTGGCATTACAAATCCCACAGTTTTGTCTAATCGTTTATCGTCTTCTTTGGGTGGAGAATCAAAATTAGGTTGCTCAGGGACAGATTTGTTGAATAACGACAAATTGATTAATGAAACAATAGATTGCGAGCCTTGCTGAAAATAAAAAATAAATATAAACACAAAAGACTGGCGAGCACATTCTTTTGTCCAAAAAATAAAAGACATGTGCTTGCCAGTTCTAAGTTATTTGTTTCTACAAAAAAATATCTCATGTAATAAGTCAAGCCTACTGACAGATGAAAATTATAACAATAACTACCAAAATATGTTCTCATTCAACAACCATAAATTTGAGTCAAAAAATAATTAAAAAATAACCGTGAAATCCAAGAGACTTTCATTCTGCGCTCGCTGCACCTGGTCAACATAATCCTGCAACGATCTATGTCCATTATTTGCTGGAACATTCGGACTCTCTTTAAAAGAAGCGTCCTTATCCAACTCCTCATCAGTATAAGTACCAGAGTAAGCTGAAAAAAATATAAAAACTTATTGTTAGAAAATAAATTTAAAAAAACCTGCTGCACAACGAATTACTACACCCATATGCAAAAGAGGGTCCATAAAGCTAAGAACACGAGAAGGGGACGGCAAATACTGAAAAATATTTTTGAACAAAGACTGTGTTAATAAATTAAAAACCTGAAACAAAAAAGGAGTATAGATGGGAACAAGTCCGTCAGGAAGTCTTTTAACACCCAATTCGACAAGCTTCAATGAAACAGACACAATCAAATTTCCTCCAGCAGAATCGCCAACAAGACAAACTTTTTCACCAGTCCAACCTTTAAGAAAAAATGAGAAAATTTTAGCAAAAAATAAAAAAACCAAATTTCTCGTGATTTATAAGAATCCAAGCATAAGCATAAAGAACCTCCTCTGTTGGGCGAGGAAAGGGATTTTCAGGTGCCAACGAGTAGTCAATAGAAATAAGTGGGCATTCCAAAGATTTGGCCCAATATCGAAGATAAGTCTAAAAATAAATTTTATTTTAAAGAAAATTTTTAAAATAAAACCTCATGTGATTTAGATGAAGTAGCAACATAACCACCACCATGACAATGAATAACCAAATAAGGCGAAAGAGTCAAATTTCGAGAACTGCTTGAATTCTTAAAAGAAAAGAATATAATAAGTTGTGAGTTTACTCTCTTAAGTGTTTTAAAGAGTACATTGAGCCTGCGGTACCTTGGGCGGCGGTACCTTGGGGTGTACCCATTCCTTATGTTGTGTGAAACCTTCAACTTAGAAGTTTTTGAGAGGGACAAGCTATAGTGTTCAAAAACGGAGGTAAAGTTTTGTTTAGGAGATCAGCAGTAATATAAAGTATTCTATAAGCTAAAATAAAATACCAATCCAAAACGTTGTTGAAAAGAAAGAACACGCAAAGCAATAGGTCGAGGTCCAGTATGCGAAGATGGCTCATGAATTTGAACAAAACCTCCATTAACCGATTCTAGCGAAAGAGTACCAGCTAATTTAATTTCAGTCTTCTCACAAGTTGCCATAACAGGACAATATAAACTAGGCATTGTCAATTCTGAAAGATTCCAAAAACCACGACAAAATCCTATGCTTGCTTCTCGGGTCACCTTAAAATAATTCTTAATGAAAAAAACCAGCAAAATAACCTTAATAATGTGTTTTGCACGCTGTTCCGGATTCAAAAGCATCCGGCCGCCCCTAATTAAAGAGCTTAGAGCCACAGTGCTTTCCCATGAAAGACTATAAGTGGCCAAAATCAATCCAATAACTCGAAAAATTCGAGTGATAGAAGGTGAGAACTGAAAATATGTAAGTAAATAAAAATTGAAAAAGAAAAAAAATTAACTTGAAATCCAAGAGAACGTCCATAAAAGCAAGAAGCATCGAGGTTTTCAATTCCACGGAACATTATATTATATTGTTGATAGTCACTATTAAGCGGTGGAAACAAGCTATTGTTATCCAAGACGTCCAATAAAGAGACAACCTTTGAAAAACCGGAATTAGCAAAAATAAGGGGTAAATGGAAAATTGGTTCTGGAGTTTAAGAGTGATCCCGTTGGAAAATACGTTTTATAGACACACTACTAAGGAAGGATAATCTTTTTGCAGTCAATAATTTTAATTAAACCCCTCTCCATAAAAGAAATTTAAGACGAATAAACAAAACAATTCATGAATATTTGGAGCAATGACCAAAACCTTTACCTGTTGATATGCCAAAATAAGAAAGCGAATAATAGCCACATAGGCCTCAATTTCCTTGCAACAATGCGATAAACGAAACATAATTGTAGTCCGATTGTCTGAGCAGATTCGAAGTACCGAAATTAAATGTAAAAGAACAATGTCACTAATACAAATAAGAGAACTTAAAAAATAAAATCAAAAAAAATTTTTCTTGAAATAAAAAAACCGAAATCCATTTCCAGGAGTATTTTCATCGTAGTCATAATTTTGCGAAGCAACTTGGAGCTGACAAATTATTTCTTTAAAAAATAAAAAAATATTAATTTAATTAATTAAAGGTACCGCGAATGAGGTCAATAGAAGAACACAATTCTTTACAACTTTCTAGAATTCGTCTATTATAAATAGAAGGGTTGTGAATTTGTTTAAAATAATCTTCATTATCAGATGCCAGCTGAAATAAAGGTTCATAGAATTTTGTTTAGAGTTGGTCCCGAATAGGTCGGGTGAGAACATTACGGGGGGAAAAATGTTGGGGAAAGAACGGTTGGAGATGATCCTCTCCCGACAATTTAAAACCCATCGTAGGCAGGGGACCCCAATTTTGTCAAAGGGTTGGTTGGGGAGAGCATTTCGGGAAGAGCATTTCGGGGAACGATGAGGTCGGGGGAAAACGGTCGGATATAGAGGAATGGCCTAAAAATGATTACAGGAGGGGACCAGAAGTTTGTTAGAGGGTAATGATGGTCTAATACCTCGTTTATCTATTTTGCTATCGGAGTCAAATCGAAAGCCAAGTCTTAAAAAAGCCAGGAATTTTTGGACGTTTAGAGAGAAGTTACAACCCCAATAAAACCCCAATTCCAGATTTAAACCCTTTCTAATTTTTAAATACCTGTTTAAGTAAGTCAAGAACAGCGTCACGTTGAACAGACATCCGAGGTTCTAATGGCACTTTCATGATAAAGTCGATGTTTAAAGACTAGAAAATTGTTATGAGCTTTTAGTTGTACCCGTTAGAAGAATTTGTGAAATTCTGAAAAAAAACATATGTAAATGAAAATTTGAAATGAATTAAATTCAAATCAATATGGAACAAAGAAAAGATAGGAAATGAAAGATAAGGATTGCACTGTGACGTAATAATTGTTTTTTGCCTAAATGGGTGTTTTGAGTTAATTTACACAATAGACCCAACAGTCTCTTACCCAAAAGTCAATTTACTTTTTGAAAATTAGATATTCCAAATTTCGACATTTTGACATTTCCACTTAAATTGGACGTTTTTAATTTTTTACCATTTAACATTCTTAATTCCTTCGCGAAGAATTTTTGTTTTTGTGCTACTAGGTGCTTTGTCTATTTTCCTGAGTATATACCGTATTTTTTGTATTAGAGCCCCATGGGGCTCTATTTTTCAACTATCCTCCAAAGTGGGGCTTTATTACAGCGTGGGGCTCTAATAGAGCGTGGGGCTCTATTTTTCAACATATTTTTGAAAATAGGTAATAGGATTTCAATTATAAGGTTAACTATATTTATCAAATCAAATAAGATTTAATCACAAAAACAAATTTCAGCATTAGGATAATTACAAAGTGGATAGTTGCGCGTGCACAGTAATTCGCGGTTAAGTCATTTGATTTGGATTTAAAGTCAATTTTTTTTAATTTGTGGAAGGATCGAATCCTATCGAGCATTTGAATGTTCGATTTTATTTTGCTTCAGTCCGCATGGTTCATTCCTTCGTGTGTATATCTAGTTTAGTCCCAATTGATGGATATAGATGTGAGCAAAAAGTTATTTGGGGATTAATTTTGAAATCGGGAGACTTGGGGAGTATCAATGATTTGGGGATTAATCGGATATCGGAGGATTTCTGAGATGAATCTGCTGATAACTAGGCTAATCTCGCCATTATCTATGCTTACCAGTATATAGAAGAATCTCCTAATATCTCCTATAACGTCCAAATCCCTTCATTGGAGAGAATCATATATATGGAAGGAATATAAATATCAATAGATTAAGAGTGATTTTGGGAATATCAGTCTACGGATTGTTTTTAATGTTATTGACATACAAAGAGATTTTCGAGGAGATATCATGAGATTAGGCGGAATATCTGGTAATTTGTATGGATTAAGTTTGGTTCAATGGATATCGGCAGATTAAGGTGTATTAATCCATAAATAACCTCTTAATCGCATATACATAATCTCTAACATTGGCACAGAACATTAAATAAAAGAAAAAACAGTATAATATTAAAAATTAACAATTTATTATACAATAGGTTAATTTTAAAAAGTGGGGCTCTATTTCAGCGTGGGGCTCTAATACAGCGTGGGGCTCTATTTTTCAACTATCCTCCGAAGTGGGGCTTTATTACAGCGTGGGGCTCTAATACAGCGTGGGGCTCTAATACAAAAAATACGGTATATTTAAACAGAACACAAGTCCAAAATAAAAATACCACTGCACAGTGAGGCAATTACACAGCGAGCGTTTTGTGTGCAGTAGGGGGGAGTGGACAAAAACAAAATTCAAAAAAATCAATTTATAGCTTGCCCGCTCAAAAAATATGACATTTTTAGGATTGCAAACTAGAAGGAGTCTAAATACTCTGTTGCGCAATTTCTAAGCATTTTACCTGTTTTTGTATTTCTTTTTTTAATTTTTACTCATTTAAGCTTACAATTATTCTAAAATCGTTCGTTTTTCACAACAACTATCTTGACCTGTTCTTAACATGGTTCGTTTTAATTAGTTTTGGGTAGGGTTGATGACTCATCCCCTTTTGGATTTAGCTGTGGCCTATTAGGCATTGAGCCAGTTTTTAGTTGGAAAGCCATCTTTCCTGACCAAGGGAGGGTGAAGGGGGTTACTTTCCTTTTTTAATTCATTCTATTTATAGCGCGAAGTTATTTCCATTCATGTTGGCCAAGCTGGAGTTCAAATTGGAAATGCTTGTTGGGAGCTTTATTGCTTAGAGCATGGAATTCAGCCAGATGGTCGTATGCCTTCTGAACAATCGGCGCAGGATGATTCGTTTTCGACTTTCTTCTCTGAGACTGGAAATGGACGGCACGTTCCTCGTGCAGTGATGGTGGATTTGGAGCCGACTGTTATAGGTTTTTTTGAATCTTTAATCATTAAACTAATTTCCCCCTTTTGAAGATGAGATTCGTACTGGGACATACAAGCAGCTCTTCCATCCAGAGCAGTTGATCACTGGGAAAGAGGATGCAGCCAATAACTATGCTCGCGGACACTACACTGTTGGAAAGGAAATTATCGACCCAGTTTTGGACCGCATTCGTCGTATTGCCGACAACTGCCAAGGACTTCAAGGCTTTTTGATTTTCCACTCTTTTGGTGGTGGCACTGGTTCTGGCTTCACATCTCTTCTTATGGAGCGTCTTTCGGTTGATTATGGAAAGAAGTCCAAGTTGGAGTTTTCTATCTATCCGGCGCCGCAAGTCTCCACAGCTGTTGTTGAGCCATATAATTCTGTTCTTACAACTCATACGACGCTGGAGCATTCTGACTGTGCGTTTATGGTTGATAATGAGGTTAATTAGATGATTGTTAATTGATAATCTTATTTTCTTTTCTAGGCTATTTATGACATCTGTCGTCGCAAGTTGGATGTTGAGCGACCTTCTTACACCAATCTTAACCGTCTCATCTCGCAGGTTCATTTTCTTGTTGTTTTGAAGTCTATTTTTGAATTTTAGGTGGTCTCTTCCATCACGGCTTCTCTCCGTTTTGATGGCGCGTTGAACGTTGATCTCACTGAATTCCAGGTTTTCTTCCTATTTTGATCTCTAATCTTCAAACAATTTTTCTTTTTAGACCAATCTTGTCCCGTATCCACGCATCCACTTTCCACTCGCTACTTATGCGCCTGTAATTTCTGCAGAGAAGGCATATCATGAGTCTTTGTCTGTTAGCGAGATTACTCAAATGTGTTTTGAGCCGTCGAATCAAATGGTCAAGTGTGATCCTCGACATGGAAAGTATATGGCTGTTTGTTTGCTTTTCCGAGGTTTTTTTTGTATTAATTTTTTGCTTGACAATCATTGCTTATTATAGGGGACGTCGTTCCAAAGGATGTCAATCAAGCAATTGCTACCATCAAGACTAACCGTTCAATTCAGTTTGTGGACTGGTGTCCGACAGGTTTTAAGGTAAACTTTTGTTTCAGTAAATGAACTTGGGTCTTTTTGGGTTGTGGATGAACTTTATGTTTATACATTTTAATGTTTTTCTTTTCAGGTCGGTATCAACTATCAACCACCAACTGTTGTGCCTGGCGGTGACCTTGCCAAAGTTCCTCGCGCTGTCTGTATGCTCTCCAACACTACAGCCATTGCTGAGGCTTGGGCTCGTCTCGACCACAAATTTGATTTGATGTACGCAAAACGTGCATTCGTTCATTGGTATGTTGGTGAAGGAATGGAAGAAGGAGAGTTTTCTGAAGCTCGTGAAGATCTTGCGGCATTGGAAAAGGACTATGAAGAAGTTGGCATGGATTCGGCTGGTGGAGAAGATGCCGATGAATATTAAAAGAAATAAAGGGAAATAAAAGACGCATAACAAAAATATTTAAAAAAAGCAACTTTATATAATTTGACCTTTTTTTCTTTACACACTCCATGCTTGTTTGCCGTATTTACGATCTTGCTTTATCATAAAATATTTGTTTTTGGTGATGCCTATTTTAGAGAAAAACTTGTTGTCCTGCTTTTATGCTTATTTTTATTCTGATAAATGGCAATTTAATGGTAAATAATGAAAAAAAAATAGGAAAGTGATGCAATCTATATAAATTATGCACTTTACGGAAAAATTAATGATTAAATGTAGATGGCAAAATTCTTTTGCATAGGTTTGAGGGATCCGAATTTCCCAGTATCAGCAAGCTATTTTTGAAGTTGAGGGAGTTGGTTATAATGGGTAGGGAACGGTGCCGTCTGGCTATGGTCCGGAGCAGGCTTTGGCAGAGCTAATATTCTGGAAACTTCGTAGCTAAACTTTTTCGATTTCTCATAGCTCTGGCACCAGTCGTTAGGAGCACACTCCCAGACTGGTGAAACGAAAAGTGAGCGAAAGAAGGCAATCTTTTAAAAAATAGGTGACTGGCCGGAAACCCGATTCTTGTGTATAGAGTTGTCGATTATTGCAAAATCTTTGGATATCAACCGAAGATTTTTGTTCTGCTTGGAACCGACAACCCTACACTTGTGTATATAAAAAATAAATAGCATTAAATAAAATTTAAAATAAAATTGAACTACAAAATTAACAAAGAATTGCTTAAAAAGGTTTTTTGTAGTTGAAAGATGAACAAAATAAATAAATTAATGTTGAAAGGGGGACTTCAATACAATTTTCATTAAAATTTAATCAAAAAATTATCTTACTGAAAAATTAAAGCTTTTAAATAAAACAAAACCCCTTTCCAACATTTACATAATTAAATTATAAATATATTAGCGTGCCTAAATATGAGACCAAAAAAATAATTTAACAATGTCACAATTTTTGGTATTTTTCAGTTGGAAAAAATAGTAGAAGAGAATTATGCTTCTTTAATTTAGACAGCAGAGATTCGGGACTCTGAGAAGGCTACATGAACAGCTGCTTCATATGGACTCTAAAAAATAAATTGAATTATTTTATTTTTAATTAATGTCAGGGATGTGCCGAGTGGAGGATTCCCTTCCGAGGGGGGGGGTCGCTAAAAATTCTTCTGGTTCTGGTCTCCAAAAATTCCAAGGGATGTGCCGGGTGCCAAAAAGAGTTCAGGTTAGGTACCTAAAAATTTTCTAACGGGGTAAAAAATCAAAATTCGAAAGGCCCCGGGCACATCCCCGATTTTTTTAGGTTAGGGAGAAACCAAATTCTCTCGTGTGTTTTTTCCCTCTCTCAAACAACGGCCTCCCGACTCATGTA